TACATTACTTTCTTGACGAACTAATATTTAAAAGCCTGACATCATCTTAAGAATAACCTTAACATTTTTCAATAAACTGTTAAGAGTATAGGTTATTACTTTTTTGTTGTATGGATAAATGTAACCTTTTTCTCTTTATTTTTATGTTTTATTGTCTAAATTTTTCTAGGTCCAAGGTTGTTTTTATCTTGTCCAGTCAATGTTTCTAGTTCTCAAGTATGGTTTACAGATCTATGGAATTACAGCATTATACCTTACCTATTGGAGGCTATAAGAGAGGGATTGCAGGTAAAGTATAATGTGTCTTTACTATATATTTAACTCTACTCTGTAAAATGACTTAATTTATATTTTATTTTTAAAAGACTTAAAAGTACATATTTCTTATTTGCTGTAAATTTTAAAAGCATTAATATAAGGGACATCTAATCCCTCATTTCTGTATATGATTCAGCTTTATGGTCGTAGAGCTGTTTGGGAAGACCCAACAGAATGGGTTCAAGAATCATACCCCTGGCCATCATTGGGTGAGCCAGATTGGCCCCAGTTACTTAGGCTTCGTCCAGAAGATGTTGGCTACGAAGGTCATCCCACCTCTAGCTTAGGAACAAAATCTGTGCAGAGTGAAGTGGAAGCTGATCCCTTGGTATGTTATCTGATTCTGTAAGACATGAAGCTAAACAACTGAAAATAAAATATAGTGGCCATTATTTTATGAAGTTCCTTGAAAAATCATATACAGTTATTATTGCAAGATATTTGAGAAAACAGTAAATCAAATTGTTATGAGGGATTTTAAACACTGTAGTAGTTTATTAAAGGTATAGATTGAAGCCTACTGAGATGACTGAAGAATTAAAGTTATGATTTACAATACCCCATCTCAAACACTTTATGCTTACTTATATAATGATCAGTGACTCCAAAAGAACATATGAAACTGCATTGGATCATCTCAAAATATTTTCCATGATGCCTCAATTGAATTGAACTTTTCTCAGTTTTGCACCTTTTCCTTTAAAATAAAACTTGTGACTTTGGAGTAAAGCACTGAATTTTTTCCCAGTTTATCACAACGTTTTTACAATCACCCAGTCTACTTATTAATTGAAGAGAAATGCATTATCAATGACTTCTTACTTACTAGTAGTTATATTTGCATCTTAATATTTGGCAGGTTTGATGCTTGTTTCTGAAAATACTTGTCAAAAAATACACTATAAAAGTGCTTCAAAAATATCAATTTGTGTAAATTTATCTTGGGTAAATGGACATATTTGAAACTTTGATTAAGTCAGTGGGGAAAAAAAGTGAAGAAACAAAATCACATAGAATAAATATTTCAAAACTATAACAATTATATAATTAAAAATTCTCTATATTTTTAGTCTTAGGCTAAATACCAAATATTTACTGAGTTTTGTAATTCATGAGTTGAGTTGAGCACTAGTGGTTGTGCTGACAGGTACTGATGCTTCACATAGAGATCAGCTGCATTGCAGGAGGTAGAAGAGAGTTAGTTTCTTTACTGATGCCACCAGTGGCCATCTGGCTGTGTACTGTCCTATTGATCCCATATATTTTATTTTTTCAAGTTACTGTATAAAGTCCATGGTTGCCGTTTTACCTCAGTAGTGCAGAGAAGGTCAATATCCTGCTAGTTTAGTTTTGCTGGATTTGATATAGGACTTCTTTTGTGAGCTTCTCAGCTTCCTCATTTAGCTTTGCTCCTAGTGTATGGCCTGGCACATACATCCAGGTTACAAACATGCAATTACTTGGCTTTTTTCCCCATCCATCTGGAGACCAAACATTCTGAGTTTTACATAGTACTGCCTGTGAATCAGCCACTAACATTGTGTTAGTGACACTGTCTGTTTCTGGTTTATTACTTTCAGCAATCCAGAGAAGAGCTTGCTTTATGGCTTCCAGATCCATTCTTGTGCTGCTTGTAAGTAGCTTGAATGCTTCATTAGACTTATGCAGAATGTTGTCCTGTGACACAGTAAATGCACAACTAGCTCCACCATTATCTTTGGTGTAGGAATAATTTGTGGCTATGGTGACTATCCACCATGGTTTTTAAATAGATGTTTACAGGCTTTTTGTGCTTCACCTCTGTCCAATATATACATTTTTTCCATACAGACACCAGTGACATTAGATGTTTATTTCACATGATGTCATCTGAGATTTAGTGGTAATTAATTATCTCAGTGATGGTTGTATTGCAACTGTACACCCATGATTGTCTTCTGAGGCATATTTTGGGCAATCCCTGCTTGGTTGGTGTCAATGGAGTCACTGATGGGGTACGTGGCTGAAGTAAATCCTGTGACCAGTCCTAAACTGATGATTTTTATCTTTTAAAACTTTTTTAGTTGTGTACCGCTCATACTGATCATCAGTTGCTAGTGCATAATCCAGGATGGAGTGGATAAGACTTTTGTAGAGTACAATCAGGTGACATTCTTTAGATATATTTCCTGCTGCAACTTTCAGTGCATTGACATCTTTGGCATTTCTGGTTATCATATTAATTTGGTTGGTGAAATTGAGTTGTCTGTCAAAAGTTACCTCCAGGTACTGTAGCACAAAGGATGATGGTGGTTTGTCATAGGCATGTCTGTTGTTGAGAATGCAGAAGATGAATATGGCTTTGGCAAAATTGATGATTATTCTTGTGTCATTGCACCTGTCAGTTTTTATGTATGTATGGGTTGGATTCTTTACAGTGTGTTTGTGACTTGTTGGCAATAAATTTCAACAATAAACAAACAGCTCACAGTCCACTTGTTTTACAATAATATATTAAAATAAATCAAATGTATATACAGACATTCATTACATTGTTGGTTATCACAGTTGTATCCAGAGCTTTAAATAGTCTCTTTTCTTCATCAAAGTCCACACAGACTGGTTCAATTACTTTAGAACACAATTGACACAATTATTACAATACAGTCTGTGTAATTTCACATTAAATTCACCACTATAGTCTCTTTATGGCTAAACTCACAATAATACAGTGTGGATCTATCTATTGAATTAAATTTCTTAAATGTAGTTATACCCTGACAGAATGTTCATAGATATTATGATGTAATAATACTAAATTAAAATGAGAAGAATTCAGAACTTTCTAGAAACATGATGCAGTAATATAACAATCACCAATTCATAACTATTGAACTATACAACATATAATTTGTGAACTTCTAAAAATATCTTAATTTAACACTTGCTCTATATAAACTATCTAAATCATAATGCAGTAAATTTAAACTAAAACAGTTGTGTATATCTAACAATAAGCCACTCTTCAAGAGAAATATTTACAATATTTTTTATACTATATACAAGGACTGTTTTCATTTCATGGACAAAGTCTGCACCAACATTTGCAGTCCTCTTGATGGCCACCATGCAGAACCAGCAGTTCTGGAAGAATAACATCCACCTCATGATCCTTGCACTATCAGTTTTGCACCTCTGGATGTATGCAAGCGGTGGATGGTCCATCTGGATGATGAACTCTTTCCTGTAGAGGTAGTTCTGGATGACAAATATGATGGCCAAACACTCTCGATCAATCATGGAGCAGTTCTACTCACTACTCAATAGCTTTTTACTAACATACATTATGGGACACAGTCCATCTATATGTTCTTGCATAAGCACTACTCCAATTCCAATGTCTGGTGCATCGGCCTGAAAGATAAGTGGTTTGTAGTCTGTCATTCTAAGGATTGGCAAACTTTCTAACATGTTCTTCAACTTCTGGAATGCCATCTGCTCTGGTTGCTCTCACTTTACATTGTTGGGTTCACCTTTCTTGGTCAGGTCAGTCAGTGGTGCAGCAACTTCAGTGTAGTTTGGGATGAACTTCCTAAAGTATCCTGCTAATTCCAGAAAGGATCTGACTTTTACTTGGTCATCGGAGCTGGTGCATTTTGTACGCAAATTAGCTTCTCTTTTTCTAAAAAGTCCAGCACAGAATATCTGATGTAGCACTTAGATGGTCTGATGGTTAAACCCGCTGCCCTCACTCACCTAAACAACAACACTGAGTTTCTTCAGATAGTCTTCCCATCTAGCTGTGTGGGTCAGAATTTCGTCCACATAATACTTGATGTTGGTGGTTTTGTGCAGCATCTTCTTCATCATGCTGTTGAATGTCGCTGCTGAGTTGACTAACCCAATTGGCATTCTCATGAACTGGTAGCATCCGTCTGGTGTCACAAAGGCTGTCTTCTCTTTAGATTCTGTCTCCATCAGGATCTGTCAATAACCTTTACTGAGGTCGATCTTGGTAAAGAACTTGGCCCCGTCTAGTTTTGCCATGATAGTCTCTGGGTTTGGAGTCGAACTTCATAACAAGGTTCAGCTTCCAGAAATATATGCAGAAGTGGTTTGAGCTATCGTTCTTATTCACAATTACTACAGGTGAACAGTAGGCTGAATTTGAAGGTTCAATGATTCTGGCTTCTAATATTACCTCAACCTTTTGCTTGATCTGGTCTCTTATTGCACAGGACAACAGCTGGTAGGGCTTCAACTTGACTGGATCCATAGTCATGGTCTCACTCTTGTGTTGCACAAGGTTTTTCTTGCTTGGTCTATCTGTGAAGACCTCAGCATACTGGCACATTAGATATTGCAGCTCTTTCTTCTGTTTACCAGTCAGTTCTTCACTGATGTTGACGTCTTTGTACATCTCATCTCCATCCAGAGGTCTTAGGTATAGTATGTCTTCATCATCTATGACAAAGTCACCATCTTCTGGTTCTGCATCTATGACAGCCATACTTGCAATGTCAATCTGTGCCCCTTGAAGTACCTCTTCAACAAATTGGCATTGTAGATCTTGGTCTTCCTATTCACTTTCACCTTATAGTCCATTCTGTTGACCACTTCCTGCACTTCAAATGGTCCTTTCCATTGCAGGGCAAGTTTGTTGTTGTCTGTGGGTAGCAGAACCAAGACCTTCTGTCCGACCTTGAAGCATGTTTAATTATCCAAAATGTAAGATGATGCATGTAAGTTTCACAATTAAAATTATTGTTGCAGTATGGGAATATATTAAATACTATAGTTGAAGAAAAAGATCTTGGAGTTGTGATAAAAAAATCACTTAAGTAATCTAAACAGTGTATTGTAACTAGCAATAGGGCTAATAGGATTTTAGGTAGCATCTATAGAAATACTGAGTACAAGACAAGGGATATTATTGTTTCACTGTCTAGATCACTTGTAAGGCCTTACTTAGAGTACTGTGTACAGTTTTGGGCTCCTTTCTGTAAGAACATTGAATTGTTGGAGAAGGTTCAGAGAAGAGACACTAAGATGATACCTATGATGGTAGGATTGTTCTCTGAGAAGAGACTAAAATCTCTAAACTTATTTCTTTTGGAGGGGAGAAGGGTCAGAGAGGATTTGATTGAGGTGTTTAAGATTATTAAGGGTATTGATAATACAGATCCATCAAACCTTTTTGTGTTGAGTAGTGAAAACAATAGGGCAAGGGGTCATAACTTCAAATTTTGGCAGCGTAGGAGTCGTGCAGTTAAGACAGTATTACTTTTCAAACAAGATGGTTGGCTTTTGGAATGAGCTACCTTCAAAGGTGGTGAAAGCAGAAAATTTAACTGGGTTCAAGAAAAGATTGGATTAATACACGAGTAGTAAGGGGTGGTTATAGTTGGGAGCTGGAAGGGACATCTTTGATGGACTAATAAGCTCCTCTTGTACCTTTACAATTTTATGAATTTATGTTTGGTGCACCACAAGGGTGTGTGCCCTCCAGGTTGGGAACCACTGAACTAGAGTACTGGTGTTTATTGATTTAAAACTACTTGGAAAGGATAGTCTTTTTACCCAAAAGTTTGCTTTTAGAGTTAAATGTTTTTCCTTTTACTTGGATGTGTAGTCAAATATGTAGTACAAATCTTTTTTAACTTTTGAAAATCCTGTTTTTAAACTTAAAATATGCTACTAGCTATCAGTTAATTTTTAACAATTGTGATATTTTGAAGCCACTGTACTTTGATAAGATGTTATATTTATTTTTCTGGTAAGTTTTGTTCCAAATCTTGTCACATGGAAAGAAATTCCACCATAAGAGTACCAATTTCAATATGGTGATTGTAGAATAATAAATAAATAATAAAAGGTAAATATTTTTTATAATGGACATCAAAATTTGATGCTTTCAATTCTTATTTCTTGAAGGTTGTTACCTTTATCAATACTTCATTTTGTGGCATTTTAAAATAATAATGATTTATAATAAAGTTTTCATGTTGTGTAAAACTGTAGTAAGACATCTTCACATATAAAATATATTAAAAATAACTTTTCCATTAGGTATAGTATGTAAAATGTTTTTTTTTGCAATTTACAAGGAAGTTGTATAAAATATTGCAATTTGTATCCTCAAAACATTTTTCTAAATAATGTTCTCCAAAATCAAGTAAATAGATATTATAAAAACAACAATTGTTAATCACATACACCTGTTTTAATGAAAACAGTTTGATTGTACATAAATATAACCACATTTTTTTCTTTTTTTACTTAGTTCAACATGCTAATGAGACTTCAGGAAGCAGCAAGCTATTCCAGCCCACACAATAATGGCAATGATAGTACAAGTGTACATAGTACAGAAGATTTTTTGAATACAGAATTAGAATCCACATTGTGATATCAAGTAACTAACATTGATACCTCAGGTCACACTGATGCACACAGAGTGATTCCTTGTAACATATAAAGCAGTGTTTGTGATTTTTAATAGCTTCACCAAAATTCACAGTTGTGAAATATATATATATATATATATATATAATATTCTTCTTCTTTAGATTCCTTGCAATTTTTTGTTTCTTTATAGAGCTATGTAAGAATTATCTTAATGGCTTGTGTCTTGGCAAGTCTAAAATCTACTTTACATTAGCAAATTTAGCCTACTTCTGGTTAAAATATCTTCATCATGTTAGTCTAAGTTATTAATTTAAACCTAGAAGTATTTTGAAGTGAAATACATAAATGAAATATAACTGCTTACTTTTGATATAACTACTACTAAAACAATAGATATCATGGTGCAAAAACAGGTTGAATTTTTGTTGTTGTTTTAGCATCACAATTTCAGTGATTTGAATGTGCAAAACAAACAAACACACACACATTATTAAATAGTTTTTTTTTCAGCAGAGCAAAAACTGTATACAAATATTTCTTAATCTGTTAATGTATTACAACTTTTTTAAGCCTGGAAGTTAAGATTTAACTTGGTTTTAAAATGTTTTTTGAGAGTTATAGAAATAATGCTCCAATATAGTAACTGCAATGTAAAATACTTTTAATTATTGTATGTAAATATAATTAATGTGAAGCTGTTAAAAATTGAATACACTATATAAAAGTAGTCTGTGATTCTGTTGCCTTTATACCAATGAGCATCTTCTTAATAAAAAAATTTTCATCATTTATTAGACAAATTATTTTTAAAAATGAATATTATTATTTAGATGTATTATGTTTTGAATGGTATTTGCAGATTTTCACCTCAGTAATTGCATAAACTTCCAAGTTAAAAGATGTACAAATAACTCATTGTAGTTGTTCCTGCAATAAGATCGTATAAGTAACATTCTCTACCTTCCTATAGTTATTTATTATTTAGAAGAATATACATGTATAGCGAAATGTAGGTATAGAGAAATAATGGAAACTTTAAAACTTTTAAAACTAGATTAGAAGTTTTTATTCAGTTATAGGGCCACAGTTTTTGTTAATATCTACAAGTCAGCTTGAGAAATACACTAATATCCAAGGCTGTTTTATTTTTTATATAGAATCTATAATTTGTTAAACTTTCAAAAATTTGATAATTTAAAACAATTTTAAATGTATCCCATTTATATTTTTTGAATGATGTAAAACTCCTAATCAAGTAATGTTCATGTGTAATTAGGTTTCGTATCATATACTTTTATGTATTTAATTATAATGATTGATTTTATATAATCCAGTGAATAATACTAGAGAAGATGGATTTTAATTATTTTGTACTGTTAATGTACTTTATGAAATATATAATTTTAGCTTCATTGTTTTTTTACTTATTTTCAAATTTATTTCTGTTCTCAATTAAAGAACTTTAAATACTCAGTATAGAAATAGAAACTGTTTTTTTAACTGCTTATGTTATTCTTTTTCTTTTATAACATACAAAAAAGTTAAAACAAATCATTTTAGGCAAGTACTGTGGATTTTGAGTACCAGAAAAATGAGAATTAAAAAAGGAATTTTTTTTAAAAATAGAATTATGAAACTGTTCTGTTTATGGTTGTGTTATGCTGGTTATTGTTACTTTTTTATATGTGACTTTCTTTGGAATGATTCATATGAAGTGAACCATTCAAAAAGAAAAAAAAGTTACTTTTATTTTACTATAACTACAACACACATAAGGCTGAAAGCCGCCCAGTGAGAAAAGTGTAAAAACAATAATGAAGTGTAATAAAAATGAATTTGTTTAAGCTGTTAGGAAGCAGGATGCCCATTAGTATTTCAGGAATAAAATTATATGGTGGTAAAACCTGAAACTGCTTGCATCTACTATAATAATAGAATGTATTACCTTATCAAAACAATATTATATGGTATATTTATTCTGAGTTGAAAGTTAAATTACCATAACATGCATTGCATGATAAATGTTCAGAAAATTCCTATTTCAGAATACAATAAGTTGTAAATAAAATGACCATAGAAAAAACTAGGTTTATTATGGAAATTTTTTTCATTTTTGCACATAATTTTAAATTGTTGATATTATTTTTTATCATGTTCTTGTGTTTAGCATGTGCTGGATAATTTATGTTATCCATTGGCACTATGCATTTAGTGCACAGTATTAAATTAAACTTTCCATCCCCAACCAATTTTTTTTTCATTTTTATAACAAATGAATAAATTAGTTTGTTTTTAGAATTGTGATAGTCTCTGCAAGGATACTTAACTATTCTGTAAACTTGTTGATTCAAAAAATGTGGATGACTTCAATTCACTGTGGCTGTGACTAACTTATCATAAAAGCAAATTACAGCCACTACTATGGACCAAACGTGTATGAAATAAATGTAATTTTTGTATAGATATATAACAATTTATTTATCAGACAAAAATGTTTTATGCTTCAAAAATTGGTAGGAAAAACCTAAAAGGAAACAGGAAGTTAAATTCAAATAATGAGAAATTTCTTTACCAACTTCAGTGTCTTTCCATTTAATAAAAAAAAATGGCTTGTATTTGTTTAAATTTAAACTATTTTGAAAACTAAACTAACAAAAAAGTGTAAGTACTGAAAACATTACTACATGGATCTTGTTTTTCCTTGTCTGAAATGGAAAAGTAAAATTATTTTAGTCCAAATGTAAACTATAATTAATTTTGAAGTTGCAGCTCATATCCCAGGCATAATTTGCACTTAAGAGTTACAGTTGATTTGTACAAAAGTTTTATCCAGTGGAACAAATTAGATATAAGTAACAGAAATGAAAGTAAAGCCAAAGAATTACCATGTCATTTTTCTTAGCATTTTAAGAAAGTACGTATCAGCAAAAAATGATTCAAGCTAGTGATTATTTAGTATTACTGTGAAAATTTTTAGAAAAAAATAAGAACCTTACCCTTCCTTAAACTATAAGTATAGTATATGACTACTCAGACATTTATGTAAATTGTTGGATTAGATTATATGTATGTATAAGAGTAATGAACATGCAATATTTTATAAATAAAAAGTATTACTGAAATTACCTCAATATTTTATTCATTCTACACAGATTTAAGCAACAAAAATCCCCTATTAATTTAGAAAATCAAAATTTCAAATCTATAGTTTACACAAGACTTCAAAACAAATAATTGGGTATAGACAAAATCTTCTGGTTGAAAAAACATAACCATAAAAACAAGCAAGTCATAAATATGATGCCTTAAAGGTTTACATACTCTTGTATATTCAGGTGAATTGAATTGTTATTAGAGCTGTCGGATAGATCTGCTACATAACTGGAGCTTTGTTCAAAATATAACTAAAACTCTTGCTGGAGTCAATGTTAAACAGAAGAATGAAATTGGATACAACTGTAGAACAAAATACATAATCTTTATCAAACTATGTAACACAAACACAATTTGTCAGTACTTGCACTTATTACTTACACTAGATGATTGCTCCCACTGGCTCTTCTATATTCCATCTGTTAAGTCAAAAATGTATACCAGACTCTATAAATGGCAGGTTCTTTATTTTCCGCACATTTATCCAGTGCAACTGGTCATTCTTATAACATAGGTTGGGCTGTAACCTCTAGATATGAGAACTGTTTTATGAAGGACACTGTAGTTGACATTCTTAAACAACGTCATATGAAGCAATGTTCTTGGCAGTAAGAGGTTTTATCTATTTCAAGAACAATAAAGGAAACTCGCAACAAGATCAACTTAATTGTTTTCTCAACCATGTTATGTGAAACATGCACATATTCAGAACAAATATTATAATACTACAAGAAGATTTTGCAAGGATAAATTATTTATTAAAATTTTATCTATTAGCATGACTGGTACATCTTTGATATGTACACAAATTTAGGTAATTTGAAATTTAATATTACATGCACCACAAGATGATATCAGTTAATATTTTATAAATATTCTTAATACTAGAATAAGTAAGCTGCATAGTTCTTTCTTTTAAATAGGCACAGGTTTAGTGTATATTATATTAAAATAGTTTTGGAGCCTTGCCATGTCATTCAGTCAATGTTTTTATATCTGATCATTTTCTCTACCTGATAACTAAACATCTTGAAAATAGCCTGCAGCATAGTTTCCATTTCAAAAGACTCCATTATAAGGCTGTCATGTCTAAAGCTCACCTCTCATCCTGTTTCAACTGTCTGATCACATAGAAATTCATAGATGCTGCATCCAGCAACTTTACGAATATGTCTTCAAACAAAATAGCATGAATTCCATTTAATTTACGAACTGCTTTACGTATATGCCAGCTGAACAAATATTTTGTGGAAGCAACTTGTGTACATGATTTGCATCACTTTTCCAGACCAAGATCTTTCATGATTATGATATACACTATTACCTGGGGCACATGAACAGCTTTTGCCAATGGTCTAAGTAAAGTATTATTTGTTACATGATACCACATTTTGCTTACCATGATTATGGTATTGTTACGACAGCAGAAGTCACGTGACGCTGGTAACGAGTGATGAGTTTCTTGAATGATCATGAATTTCCTAGTGTGTTCGGGACACCCCCTTTTTTAGTATATAAGCCTGGCAGATAAAGCCTGTGGGATGATTGATTGAAAAGATAGATAATTGAGTCAAGCAAACAGTAGGCACCGTGAGTAAAGTGTGTGAATCACTGTGATTTATAGCGTGTGTTATAAAGGTTTTTAAGTTTAAAGTGACTGTAGAAATTCTGTGTATTACAAAGTTGTATCAAGAAAGAATAAACTAGTTTTAATCAAGAAGGGACTTGTATCGCTGAAGTTCCCTCAGAAAGAAATTATACAAGAAATTAACAAACAAGCAGATACATAACAGTATTACTTGTTGCAGGGCTCTTTGTGGAAGTTCCTGGGTCCCCAAGTTAATCCATATTTCTTTGCTTTCCAATGCCATTTATTACAAGGAATATATTCCCATCTTGGAAATTCTAAATCCCTGATCTGAATACATATTTATGACCTAAATCTATGAATATTCTGTGTTTAAAAGGGCTGTTATATAAACTTATTAAAACTTATCCATTTTTGGTGAAATAATGCTACCTACAAAATGACAAATAATGTCAAAATGTAGTTCTGATACATTCCATTCCCCCACAACTATGTACAGACTGTGGTTGTCATATGACTTACTGATTTGCATATTAAAAATTGTTTTAATATATCATACTCAACCCTCTGTAGTTTTAAGTTGGAATGCATTTTATCCTAAATTGTAGCTCTCTCTACTTTTAACTAGCAAACATCACACTCATAAATTTGCTTTACAATACAGTACCTTCCAGTAGGTACTTCAGGTCAGATGTTAATTTCTGTAAATCTTTACTCACTCCATTTAATTTCATTCAGTAATGGTATTTTTGATGCCATCATTCTAGCCTATCTATATCAAAATAGAACCTTCTTCATTTTTTACATGTTAAAGTATTAGAAACTGGCTAAAGCTTGTTTTTTACCAGTATCTTTATTTTTGAGTTTTCAGATTAATTTTTGTCCAAACCTCTATTATATTAATCAGAATTAAAGTTTACTAAAAAGGATTAACTAGGGGATTCACATAGGTTAAAACCAAGCAATAAAGTTAGTACTATCATTTTCAGTTATTAGAAGACATACCATGATACTGACGCAAGTTCATTTATATCACTAGTCCTAATTCCAAAAAATAAAAATCTGCCGAACTTCACCTTGTTTCTGAAAGACATGTTGTACCATATCTTTTAATAAAAGTAGCATCATTCAGTTTGAATCTCAAAGCTTTGAACAAAGTCCAGCAATACTTTTTATTTATAATTAACTAAGTAAAATTTGTTATAAAGAATATAAAAAAGCACCCTTATCATCTAAATTTTTAAGTTATACTCTTGCTCTATTCCTGGCATAATTATGGATTTTTACAAATGTCTCTTTTGATGATATTTTGATAATTAAAATAATTCATGAGATACAATAGGAAAAAAATATCCAGAGACATTTAAAAAAAAGAGACCCAATGAGAAACCTTTTGAAGGTTTTTTCAGGATGGTACTGGATGTATTGTAGCAAAATCATATTGACTGATGTAAGCAAGAAAAAAAAACAAATTATTCAATTCTGCAATTTTGACAATATGGAATCCAACTCTGAAATTATACAATTGTTTCCCCTATGTGTCATATCCTAAACTATTGAAATGAAAAAACACCAAGTAAACATGGGACATTTAAATCCAAATACTAAGCTAACATGCAAAACAATCATAACAGTAAATAATATATAACATATACATATAAACATTTTAATCAATGCTGTTAAAAAACTAAAATTAAAAAAGAACATAACGGAACAAATCTTACAAAGCACCTAAAAACATTTCTTTCATGTACTGTCGCCAATTTCCTGTCCAATAAAAAGCATGATATAAGTATAAGAAACATTTGTATAATCCCTTTTAATAATATCTAGTGATCATTAAAAATCCCTTAAGTGACTCTGACAGCATAACTTTACAGTAGCTTAATATTTGACATGAGTTACTATGACACATTGATATTTAAGTCAGATAATAGGACAATACAGCTAGTACAGCAAAATGTGTTGAAGATTGATTGGTTGGTTGGTGCTTTATGGCGCAAAGCAGCAAGGCTATCTGTGCCAAACAACCGGTAAAAACAATGAAAGTAAATTAAAGTAAAATTTAAAAATACTGCGAGTTAAAACCAATACATGCCGATAAAAGATATATATAGAATTAAAAATATCTATAGTGTGTAAATAATTAAAAATACAATCTAATCGGACAGTGTCACCATTACCAATGACACTGTCCAGCGTCAGGGGTAAACTTTTAGAAAAAATGTGTCTAAAATGGTGCCGCCGCTCATGGTCGTAACGACGACACGACAGTAAAATGTGGGCTACTGTGACTTGAGTGTCACAATGGCGACACATTGGTGGGTAAATACCTGATAAAAGAAAACGATGGGTTAAAAAACTATGACCAATGCGTAGCCTTGCCAGGACTACTTCCTCCTTTCGATCCTTAAGGAAGCAAAACAGCCAAAGACCAACAGATGGTTTGATCTGGAAAAGCTTATTATGGCGTTACTCACTCCAAGTTGACTGCCAACTGGCACGAAGCCGCGCC